CCAATAGATGGAGCCTCTCCCCAGGTGCTAGTGGTGTCTGCTCTTATCAGCACCACTAACACTGGCGAGTGTTTGAAAAAAAAAAAAAAAAAAAAAAAAAAAAACCTTTACTGCTTTTCGTAGAATGTTCATTCAACCACTCTTAAGGTAGGAACTGTCTGTCGTCGTTCCAATCAGCCTGCCAGTGGAGGGGCTGCTCTGTTACAAGGGGCTTCGCCCTGCAGGGTGGATCCGGAATCTACTCAGCATAGTCTTCCCGGCTTCCAGCATTTTTTTTTTTTTTAACATTGATTAATTGTTAACTGATATAGGGACACTGGACCTGGTTTCCAGCAACTTTTGCGGTCCRGTAGGCCGAAGCCCATCAGTCGTGGCGCGTTAACGGGAAACGCCCGCAGCCGATGTATGGGCCAAGTACTCGTGGTTTAACATTGTTAATTGCTTTGGGACGCTGGAACCGTTTTCCAGCAATTCTTTTCCTCAGATGGGGTGCTGGGCCCAGTTTCCAGCAGCAATGATTCCGGAAGGGACGCTGGACCCGATTTCCAGCACAAGCCATAACTGGGTAATGGCCCCATAATTTCACCCGGGTAGAATTGTGGGGTCCCCGGCCTCAAATTAACTTTCAAAGAAATACAGAGTACCATTGGAGGGAAAAAAAAAAAAAAAAAAAAAAAAAGGGGGTGCCGCAGCCCCTTCCATGGATTCCTACTCTGTTGCCCTTCAGTTCCTTTTTGTTTGACACGAGTGCGGCCGGCCACATCAGTTTTTTTTCGAGTTTCAAAAGGCGAAAAAAAAATCATGGGGGCAGGTCTGTGGCGGCGCAAGTTTCGTCGAGTGGGCAAAGAAAACATGAAAAAAAAGGCATTCTGCACACCACAGCCCCCCAAGATGCACATGTTTTTTTTTTTTGGGCAATTAGAAACTCGATAGTGACTGAAACTTACTTGCCCCCCTTCATTTTTTTATTTGTTTTTGTTGTAACAGGTGTTGTTGTTGAAAAAAGCTCTGGGTGTCTGTCTTTAGTCACCTCCAGCTAAAAAAGCACCTTCGCGAGGCTGATTTAATTTAGCTGAAGGTGATGAAAGACAAACAGCCCTTTAGTCGCTGGGTGGGAGGGTCAGTTTCCCTCCCCATCGACTACTACGGAGGCGGCTCTGTAGACCTTCTCATCGTTAAGGGAAGGGTTCTAAACCGTGATTGCCTATTTGCTGCCACTTCACGCCTGTAAGACCCCACAGTGGAAGTGGACAAAAGTACAAGGAGTGTGTTTTGGGTGAATAAGAAATGATTTTCTGCATGAATGCATCTGTCTGCATTTAAGATCACGTTCATTCAGTTCCATTACCCTTCCCTCTGTTTGCAGACGTACGGGCTAAGGGACTTCCAGAGGCAACAGTCGTTATGACTTGTTAATTTTTGCTCACCTTTTCATTTTGTGTCCTCTTTTTTTTTGTGAATGACTATTTGTTTGCTCGTTGTTGTGCTTACCTTTTTTTTTTGTTGTCTGTCTTGTTCTTGTTTGTGCAAATGAAGGCTCAAAGCCTTGTGTGTGCTTCAGCTGTAGCAAGGTGGGCGCTCAAGATGATATGTTTTGTTGCAGCGACTGCAAGGTAAGAATCTGTACGATGTGAAGCTATAACCTTCTTCTTGTTCCTCCTCCTCCTCCTCACCTCTCTTTCTCCTCTGCTGGCATGATTGCACCTCTTTGTCCCCTCATCTACCTGTTCTTCCCAAGTTCGTCCTCCTCGTCCTCGTTTCTTCTCCCCTCATCTGCCTCCTCCTCCTCCTCCTCCTCCTCTCGCGTCATCTTCGTCCTCCTCTTCCTCCCTCCCTTCTCCTCCTCCTCTTGCTCCTGTTTGTCTCCTCCTCTTCCTCCTTCCCATTTCCTTCCTTCCTTCCTTCCTTCCCGTCCTCTTCCCCCTTCCTCCCCTCCTCTCTATCCTACTACTTTTCCACTCTTTCTGCTCCGCTTCTTTCTTCCTTCAACTCCTTTCCCTCCTCTCCCTCCTCTCCCTCCTCTGATTCCTCCCTCTCCCTCTTTCTTTCTTTCCCTGATTTTCTAGCTCTTTCTCCTTTTCCTCTTTTTTCCTACTACTGCCAGTGCTACGACCGTCTTCCCCCCAAACACAACGTACCCCAATTGTGAACGTATATGAGCTATAACTCCGATTCGATACGGACATATTGAGGGTGCATTGTATTCAGCGGGGGGAAGATGGTAGTCCCCCGTCGTACTATTACTCCTACTACAACTACTACAGTAACTGCTGCTACCACAACTACACGTTCCGCTATTACTACAGTAACTGCTACTGCTGCTGCTACCAGTAGCGTTGTCAGTGCAGTCACCGCTGCCACTGCTACTGGTACAGTAACTGCTGCTGCCACTGCTGTCATTGGTACTGCTGCTACTATTACAGTAACTACTACTGGCACTGCAACCTTCTTTTTTTTCCTTTTTTTTTTTTTTTGGGGGGGGGGGGGGGGGGGGGGGGGGGGGGGTGGGGGTAAGTCATAACATGCTTATTATAAAACTCATAGGAAAGAAGCCGGGGACCTCACAATTCGACCCGGAATTGCTGGGGCCCTTACCCAGCCTGGAGCGTACGAATCATTACTGGAAACCGGGTCCACTGGTTCAGTGTCCCTTTCCTGAAAAGCAACTTCCCAAAAAATGATCACGTTGTAGCTCATACCCCAAAGGGGAAAAGTAACCTGGACCTCTGAGGTACAGGAAAAAACAGTCCTGACTCGCCCTGGTGGCGGTCCAGGAATTCCGTTTTTCAAAAGCCATTTAGAATCTTAGATAAAGTCAGCCCACCATCCTGCGAGACAGTGGCCAGTTGATTTCGCAATGTCCATGTTTTGATGAACCAGGGACGGCCCTTGCCCTGGTTGTCCTTTGCCAGTTTCCACTCAGAGCCTGCGAGAATCGTGAGCCTGACGTCGGAAAGAATCTGATGCTGTTGCTGTTGCTGTTGAAGGGAGAGTGTGGCATACTGCGCATCCACACGGGCCTGCAGGGCCCGACCAGACGGAAAATAAGGGCCCTCCAGGCCCTGTGTCGTTTCAGCCTAAAAGCCTGAAAAGGAGGGCCATTTTCAGGCCCTCATAAAGTCGACCTGCCCTGAAACTTAGGCACCAGACCAGGGTTTAGCACAGGCCATTTTTGGGCCTGTTTCAAGACAACCTTTGTTTGAACTTCAACGCCAGGGTCTGGCACATTTCGGCATGGGCAAGAGGAGCCTCCCAGGCCGGACCAGCACTATATAGTACTGGTCCGCCCTGCAGGCTGCAGGCAGTTCACGGACACTTCACGTGCAGTTCAGGAGGCAGTCTTCAGGATGTGGCCGCAGCACTCTGCAGGAGCGCTGCAGTAGTAGCAGTAGCGCTAGGAGTAGTCATCAGCGTTGGGCGCTGTTAGGAGCTTAGAGTAGCGTTGGAGAGAGAGAGAGTGGCGGAGGCCAGGGATACTTACCTGTGGCGCCATAGCTCCAGCTTCGTCTTCGATGTACCTGCAACAAGGCGCCACCTTCACAGGTTAGTACTTGGTACACCAGAGAGAGAGAGAGAGAGTTCTTCTTCTTCCTCCTCTAAGTCCACCATCTCTCCCTCACCCTCTCGCTACCTGACTTCTCAGCACCTATAGACTACGAGAGAGAGAGAGAGAGAGAGAGAGAGAGAGAGAGAGAGAGAGAGAGAGAGAGAGAGAGAGAGAGAGAGAGAGAGAGAGAGAACGTACAGTATAAGCGGGAGAGAGATTTGAGAGAGAGAGATTTGACGACATTTGGATTCAGACTCGACATTGGGATTGAGATATTGGATGGGGGATTATTTGGGACCTGTATCGAAGACTTGGTGTTGAGGACATTCCCATCTTCCCCCTCTTCTTTGTCTGATCCCCTTCCTCTTCGTCTGTGTATGGTTCGGGGACTGGCGCATTCTTCCTGTGTGAGCGCCAGGCCCCTTCACACCCCATGTGATGATGATGATGTATGTTTGGTCTGCATTGCGACATTGATTGGTCTGATCATTGGTATTATAGCCTTCCGCTGTGCTATCCTGTACTATGTGAGAGAGGTCGGTTCTTGTTCTGGTCTGCACCGTTACGGTATGCAACAGAGAGTCTGATCTTTTCACCTCAGAGTCTGAAAACGATCGAGTTTCTTGCTTGCCAGATGGACTGACTGCATAATTACTCCCCTGCATACTAGTAAGGCCACATACCCCCAACCAACTGAGAATCTCAAATTGGGTTTAGGGAGACTACCAAAAAGGGTCCAATCATCTGTCCAGGGGAAGTCTTCCCCTGTCATTCTTAACCAGTGATGGATCCACCACTGCCAGACCTTGTCTGCTAATGGGCAATGGATCCAGACATGGGAGTTGGAATCCCAACCCCAGTAGCACCTTTTACAGGTGATAGACAGGTCCATACCCTTCGTTGACAGCCATAGAGCAGAAGGGAAAGGGATCACTTGGAGTGACTGTAGCCACATCAGACTGGCTGATCTCCGAGAAGGAATGCATCTGAGGCAGACCACAGAGGCCCCCAATCCGGTTGGCCTGACTCCAGGCCCTTCATTTTAATCAGACGGCTGGATGCCAACACCGCAGGTGAGCGGCTCACTTGCTTTTGTAGATAAGCAACTCCAACCTTTGTGCTATAGAGAGCCAAAGGGACAGGAGCTGTCCCGTTAGCCGACTCCACACTCAGGTCCCAAAAGTATAAGATAGGTTCTACCGTGTATTTCTCTGCGTCCCCTAACAGACAGGAGACTTCGTCTTTACATATGACGAAGTCAAATGAGCCTCTCCTAAAAGTTAGGGGACTTTTCACCACCAATACATATGACGAAGTCAAATGAGCCTCTCCTAAAAGTTAGGTGACTTGCCCCACGCTGGGCTTGAGGGAGGGCGGGAACTTTTTTCTGTCACGCGCACTGCGCGGCACCAGTGCCCAGTGCCCACCCTGCGGCGTGGGACAAAAAACTTCCCTGCTCGCCCCCAGGCCCCAGGCCTGCCATGGGGCGAGTCCCCTAACTTCGACTAGGAGATGCTCATTTGACTTTGACTTCTCAACTTGGCTAGGCCATGTACTGGTGGTTTAAGAGGGGCTAGCCTTTATTATTATACTGTTAGTACACTCTCTTCACCCCGATAGAACGCCTGCAGTGGCCATTATAGCTGTCTCTAGACTGAAAGCTGCCCCAACTTGAAATACAGCTAAAGCCTAAAAGGACTGGGTGTTCTATTCTGGTGAAGACAGCAATTTAGGCTCAGCCACCGCGGGTTCTACCTCTACTACTACCTTCTTCCCCCAAATACAATGTACGGTCATTACATCTGTATTTAGACTGCGCGATACCTCAAATACTGCTATAATGACCATACGTTGTATTCGCGGGAAGAAGGTACTATGCTTTGGCAACTGGTGCCGCTTCTGCTGATGCTCCTTTCGCCACTACCTGTACCGCTGCCTGTACGGCCTTTTTTCCCCCCCTTTTTTCTCCCCTCTTTTAAAAATCCCTCTCTGTTATTGCTTTTAGGAAAGGGTGACAGCCTTGAGATAACATCATTGAGCTTATGGAAGTAGAATTATTTCAGAAAATGACCACTTCAATGAGATAGACGAAAATAGGCACGCAGTCTTCTATGATAACCCCCCCGGAAAGCCCCCCTTCCACTCGACTAAGCAGGCCACAACAAACGAGACCACTGAGACAAATGAGGGAAATGGTCCCCGGAATTTGGAAAAAACGAAGGCATTGACAAAACCCTCGCAGCAACAACATTTACTGGCCCCCATTTCTCCCTATGAAGGCGCCCTGATCAGCATGAGACAGAAGCTACACCCGCTGGTGGCAGGAGGACATGTAGATCTGCCCTTGTCTAAACCAGGTGTACTAATGCTACCAGTCAGACTGAAAGGAGGCGTTTGAGAGGTAGGCTTATCAAAGCCGACAGGATCCATACATTGAGAGGTAACAGTACATGGAACCCCAGTAAGCACTCTCTCATCATTGTTTGGTAAAATGGCAGGGGAAGCACGTTTTAAAGCTGAGATTGTTAAAATTATTCAAGCACAGTTTCCGCCTGGGGCTGCTGTGCTTATCCTATCTTCTGACGCTCATAGGATTTCAGCTAAGGATGTGTTCCTCAGATATGAGCACACACGAGCAGTTAACTTACGCTGGTTCACTCAGGACACGCTAACAGAGCTCCAACAAATGAAGGTCAAGGCAGGTGACTTCTGGTCAGAAGTTGACATCACGATACTACTCTCCCGCCTCCTAAAGAATGGACGGACCTTACTGGATCAAGGCAACAAGCTGGACTCTGGTCACTGGTGGCCCTTGTAAACCACTCCACGTTCAGCCGATTGACAAATATAATAAACCATGGAAGATGCAAATGGGCTGGAGGTGTTATACAATAAGAATAAGGACTGGAAACTCCTAAAAAGAGCTACAGACCTAGACCTTCGGTCACTCAATGTCAATGGTTTAGCATCGGCTAAACAACAAAAACGACAGGCAATCTATGAGCAACTGAGAGGAGTGGAAGGTAGGGAAGGGTCTGACGCCATCTGTATGCAGGAGACACACTT